AAAAAAAAAATGCAGCTAGGCACACTGTAGTATGATATTTGACTGTAGAACACCAAAATTAAAGGTCTTAACCATGACTTGAGAGAGAAGACAGACTAGCTACAAAGGAGCACTGATCAGACTGACAACTGTCTTTTCAGAAGCAACAATGGAAGGAAGAAGAATAGTGAAGTAATATTAAAAACTGCAAGAAAATAACTGTCAACCTAGAATTGTATACCAGCTAACTTTCAAGGATAGTAAAATGGTAAATTTATAGGTAAATCTAAACATTGTACAAAATAACTATTTTTGTAGTTAAACCAGATGAAACTGAAATTCTAGACAATAATTTCTAAGTTGAGGAGAGGAAATCAGACTTTGTAAAAAAAAGTCTAATGTTTAGATAGTAAAGATAATATGGTGATGCCTTTAGATTTTGTTAAGCTAACTATGCAAGTTAAATTTCCTAGTAAGCCCTAAAAGGTAAAAACTGAGTGATTAACTTCTAAATTAGTAGACAGAAAGTACATAAAAAAAAAACAAAACAGCAAAACTCAATCTGCCACAAATATGTACAATCAACAGTTTCAATAAAAAAATACTCAAAAAATCTACAACTCAGTCTGAAAGATGACCAAAAAACAAAAAGCAGTGAAGAAACAGAAAAGGGGGAAAAAAAACCACAAAATAAGATGGCAGAAATAAATCCTAATATATTAGTAATTTCAACAAATGTAAATGGATTAAATCCCCACTTAAAAAGTAATCAGTTAGAAAAAAACCCAGTTATAGTTTTTAAGAGGCACATCTAAAACATAATAGCAAGTTCCAACAAAAGGATAAAACAATATATAGGATACAAATACTAACTAGCTGGTGTAGCCTGTATAAATATTTTAAATATCCATGGATTTTAAAGCAACATAAATGAAATAAAAATATTACCAGAAATAGAGACTATAAGATTCAATTCTACAGTTGAAATATAAACAATTTTAAACTTTGACGTATCTAATAACAAAGCTTCAAAATATCTAAAACAAAAATTGACAGAATTACAGGGAGAAATTAGCAAATCCATTAGAATAAGACATTTGAACACATTTCAGAATCTGAGAGATGAAGCAGAAAAAAAAAGAACATTAAAAGAGAGAGAATTCGGGCCGGCCCGTGGCTCACTCGGTAGAGTGCGGTGCTGGTAACACCAAGGCCCCGGGTTCAGATCCCATATAGGGATGGCTGGTTCGCTCACTGCCTGAGCGTGGTGCTGACAACACAAAGTCAAGGGTTAAGATCCCCTTACCGCTCATCTTTTTAAAAAAAAAAAAAAGAGAGAGAGAGAGAATTCAAAACAACACAATTAACAAGCTTGGTCAAAGGGACACCTAACAGGAAAATATTCATACTTTTCAAGCACTCTTGAAACATTTACAACATTCTAGGTTGTAAAGCAAACCTCAACAAATTTCAGATGTACCTATTCTCTGACCAGAATAAAAGAATAAATAAAATAAATATTAAAAAGGAGGAATCAATAATAAGAACAGAATTTTAAAAATCTACATGTATGGAATTAAAAAAAACCCCCACAAATATAAGTCAAAAAAGAAATTACAATGAAAAATGGAAAATACTTAAAACTTAAANCGTGGTGCTGACAACACAAAGTCAAGGGTTAAGATCCCCTTACCGCTCATCTTTTTAAAAAAAAAAAAAAGAGAGAGAGAGAGAATTCAAAACAACACAATTAACAAGCTTGGTCAAAGGGACACCTAACAGGAAAATATTCATACTTTTCAAGCACTCTTGAAACATTTACAACATTCTAGGTTGTAAAGCAAACCTCAACAAATTTCAGATGTACCTATTCTCTGACCAGAATAAAATAATAAATAAAATAAATATTAAAAAGGAGGGATCAATAATAAGAACAGAATTTTAAAAATCTACATGTTTGGAATTAAAAAAAAAAACCCACAAATATAAGTCAAAAAAGAAATTACAATGAAAAATGGAAAATACTTAAAACTTAAAAACAATTAAATATCTCTATAGCGCTTAAAAATTATAAAACAATATTTCATTTGATCATTACAATATTCCTATGAACTACACAGAACCCACAGTATTCTGTTCAACAGCATAAACACAGCAGAAATGTTGTAAATTATGTAATTGTTAAAATTATATAAATAAAATACTTGTCAAAAGTGATTTGAAAACTGGGAAATAAAGCAAAAAGTGTTTACCACTAATAATATCAAAAAGAAAACCAACCAACTCTCTGGAAGCTATATTGAAAGCTAACAAAGTTACAAAGAAAGAAATTAGCATCTTAATGTTTAAAGCTCAAAAAGCTCACCAATTCATTTTGGTTTAGGGAGTCCCTAAGATACTTATATAATATATGCAAACTTATAAGGTGAAGTATTCATATGAGATGAACAAAAATGATCAGAAATCTTTGCTGCACAAGTTGGGTAATCACAATTAATAGCATATTCCCACTCGTACACACAATCCTGATTTCTTGGTTACAGAACCTGTTCAACAGTGTGTTGGCAATTAACAGAATTCCAAAAAGTGCCTATGGTACAAAGGGAATTTTCATTTAAAGCTCCCCTCCCTTTTCATGTGTAGGATATTTTTAGAAGTAGTTTTCTGGAGCTGCTGTACGGCCAAGGCGGATGTTTCCATCCACTGAAAGAGAATTAAGAAAATTCCAGCATGCCTTAGTGTCAGCAAGTGCTCTTTTTAGTCCAGGTACCAGAGGATGATTGATGAACCTGTCAAGCCTACAGTAGCAGACAGAGAAAGCTGGCAGTAGTTCAGTGTTATTGAAAGAAATCTCAAATACTTATTTCATCTCCTCTATTAACTTTAATCACATTTTCAACATGCAGCCAAGAATGAAGCTTTGACAGTAAGCCATAAATTCACACAGGCAAGCATTGTCAATTTTCTGGAGTTGCAACACTGAGATAACAAGAGAGTTGGATATTTTCTTTCTTGTGCTTTTCCTTACTGGAGAGCAATAAAAAATATCTGAAGAGATTTACCCATACTCTAAATTCATTTACCATAAATCTCTTGAAACTATTACATTTATTTTTGCTTGGTTTACGGCAAATAAAAAATCAACTTAGTTCTTCAACTAGATTGTTAAATGCAGATTTTTAAAGATCACAGTGATGACAGAATTGGTACATGTTTCATCATAATACACCTGCTTATGAGAACAGACGTTAACACTAAAAAGGATTTACATTAACATGGATCATTTGCCATGTGGGCACACACTTCTGGTTCATTCAGAGCCAGAATCTTTATATGGTTCCAGAGGGACTCCTTGGCAGATTTCGCTGATTACTCATTAAACAGTTGAAACATGCACAGACATTATTTATCTTATAAAGCTTACCCACAGCAAAAGAGACAGAAATGAGGTAAAAACTATGGGCAAGATTACGGTTCTTGGAAAGGCTAAAAGTAAAAATACATTTTTGGTAAGCTTTTCTTCTAAGCGTGTTTTAAAAGCTGAAAATAATAAGTGCTGGAAGGCCACAAAACTTAACACACGTGTCTTGTCACCCAGTGAAGCACACGGCATTATGCTGCACTACAAAATCGCAGCCATTCCCAGTACGCAGTTCAAAGACCAACACGGCCATCTTCGCTATAGTAGAGACAATGTTTTCACTCTCACCTTTCTTAAATATCGGCTCTGACAGCTGTTTTTTGTCTATATTACACATGGAATAACACTTTGCACATTCTTCCAGTAGCTAGGGAGGCTATGATGGGCAGCTTTTATACCTGCCTTTTAAGCCACAATAATAAACTAATATTAACCCTGAATAAGAATGAATTAAATTATCTTTTCACTAAGAAGTTTATACTTAAAAATCTCTGAGCTGATCAGTGGAAAAGATGATCAATTCTGACGAAGAAAGAGTGTATTTATCCTATTTTTCATTCTTCTCCTCCCCATTCAAATAATCACATATAGGCACCTAATGCTGGAAAGATGAGCACTCGTCTATGAAACATTTACCATGGACTGCAGCAGAAGTTTCTTTCTTCTGATATAAGAGTGCTATTGAATACATTGCTAAGCTCCTAACAGAAGCTAAATGGTTTGGTGGGAATATTTTTTAGGGGAGAAGTCGATGTTTTCTCATTAGTCATTGTTGTGATTCAAGTTCTTAAAAGGTTGAAAATTTCGCTAGGTCCTTCTCCATCTCAGCATACTGTTCTTTAAGCCTCTCCATGGCTTTTCTGTGCTCTTCATCCACTTCAGCCCGCTTGTTGGGTTGTTCTTTCATGAAATCTTCCCACTGGAGTATATGCTGTTTCTCACTAGCAATTAAATGGTCATTATGAATCTGAGAAAAGAAAATTTGAAAGTCACATGACATTTTTCCAGACAATTATTTCTATATGCAAAAGGGACAAACATAACTTTATCTCAATATTTGGTTACTATAACAATCAGCTGGCAAGTCACAGTGATAAAACTGCATTACAGTTTTAATGTCTAACAAGAACATGACACATCAGAAACACGGCTTTTCTTACTATCACTTGAACATGGATACTCACATTTCTGAAATTTCAAAAGTGTTTAATATCTTTAAATGACAAAATCAAACACAATCTAAATAATTTTTAATACCTCTATTTCTCCTATTTCAAATTCTATTTAACTGCATATATTTTTAATCAGTTTTAAAGAATATATGCTAAAACAATCATTTTAAGAAATTTAAACGTCTGTCTTACATAAAACATTTTTTAGATGCATTAAAAAGGATTATAGATTATTAGTCACTGGAAGAGAACTCAAGAAATCTCCTTTGGTTCATTTCAAGTTCTCGAAGCAAATCAACACCTAAAACATCTGTGTGAAATACTAAGTTCTTCATGAGATGTTTCTTGGTATTTCTATATAAGAATGAAAGATCTTTTTTCTTTTGAGCACCACAACAATACAGATGAAACACTTTATAAATAAAAAAGACATAAATTTAGTTTTCTCCCTCCAAAATATAATTTCAATTGTTATCTGAGAACATGTTTGATAAAGAGCTAAATAGAAAAAGAGAGTATGAAGAAATAATTTCATATCTCTGCCTCAAATATTCTACGTGCATGTCTTTAAAAGTTAAATTTTGATACAGACTAAGTCCTATTTAACAAACAAACAAACAAACAAACAAACAAAAACTGTGACAGATGCAAACCATAAAAACCCACAGGGCACCTGAAGTCATTACTACTTACGGTGTATTGATTCCAGAGCTCTAACGAAAAAGGGGCGCATGGTGAACTCACATACTGGTAACTCAGATGCTAGCAGCCAGGAAAAAGATGGAAACCGTTGCTTTCAGGCTGTCCATCATATCCTTGCCCTTCTATTTTCTCTCATCTGGGTCATGATGACAAGTAGGACAAAGGGCTGGGTAAACCAACATACTCTAACTACCTATGAAATACAAATTTCTGCTACTTGCTTTGCAAGGCTTATCTACTTCTAAAAACCCCTCTTATAAGATTACACTATTCTCATCTTACAGACAAAGAAATTAAGGCATACTTCTCCATGGTCACTCAACTAACAGCTGGGTTGTAGATTCAAACTTAGGTCTTTCTGCCACCCAAACCTATGTCTTTTCTGTCATAGAGTGCAAATCAGATCATTCCAGTGGAAGTGTTACATCGGTAGCTAAAAGTCTCTTCCCCAAGGAAAAAAACAGCTATTGTGAGAACTTAACTGCTGAGCTGATCTGACATTCCTCAGCACCAAAATTTCAAGTGAAAAGATGTTGAAGTGAGTCTGAAGTCTGGGTTACTGTCAAACATCCCCCCCTAAAATATGTGCCATAGACCCTCGGGATCTAAACAGGCATTACAGTGGTGGGGAGAGAGGATTAGGGAGGGTTTGCTCATCCAATAAATTTGGGAAACAAGTTAAACCAAATTTAACACATTACTTCTCAACTTTTCAGCCTTATAGACTGTAACTCTCCAAAAGATAAAGTATGAAGAGTTTATTAAACTACTTTGATTGAACTTTTGCAAAAACTGTTAGTCTAAGAGAAAAGCCATAGTCAAACTAAAAAAAGGAAAAAAGTGCATATAAACTTTATCAAAATATCTTGCTTTAGCTTTATTTTTAATAAATACAGAGGATATTAAACATGCATGCTCAGATGTTATTTATTCATTTATTTTAAATTAAAAAGCCACAATTGGCTTGGCTGACCCTATGATTTGGACCACAAGGCAACAGCCCAGGCTCCCCTTCCCACCAGACAGCACTTTATCCAGTGCAGCCCAGTGGAAAAAAAATGCAGGCTTGGAAGGCATATAAACCTTGCTTCAAATTCTGGCTCACCTGTCACCCAGTACATGATGCTGAGCAAATTAATGTTTCTTTGACTTTAAAATGAGGAAAATAACACTTTACATTCATTAATAATATTTATGAAGACTAGAGGCAATACATGTGAAGTTCCTACTCAGTGCCTGAGGTGCTTAAAACAAGGTAAATATTATTATACAAATCACAAGCAAAGCATCTAGAAGGCAGATCACTCCACTTTTTAACCCCTTGCCATTTAAGTTTTTGTTCTTTAATTTTAGCAATAGGTTCTTATAAAAATTGAAACAACAGACAGCTTCAAAAAAAGCAATAGTCTTCTCCTCCCATTTCTATATTTAACTCAGTCCTCCTTGATGTATCCACTCTGAACCATTTGACTATAAGAAAAGACTCTAAGATACTGCCAAAAGTCAGTATTTCTTATTTTTAAAATTTTTATTGAATCATAAGTGATTATACATATTTTTCAGGTTCAACGTTGACATATGTTGAAATCAATATTACTAGCATACATATTGTTACAAATCATACTTATTCTTTATGTCCCTTGTCCAATCTCTCCCCATCCCCCTCTCCCTCCCCCCTCCCACCTCTGATAACCCTAGATTTCTTCTCTCCTTCTGAAAGAGTAATGGTTACTCTGTTGATTTGTTGCTTAGATGATCTGTCCAATGCTGAGGTGTGTTCAGGTCCCCCAATATTATCGTAGAGCAGGTGCTTCTTCTGTCACTCTGGAATGAGTTTTGTGGAGAGAGACTTCTTCTTTTCTTTGGTCTCTGCTGGTGACTCTTCTTGTGCCAATGCACTCCACTGGCTGGCAGACCATCTGCACGGTGGTTGTGGCATCTAGCTGCTTTTGCGGCAGTTGTGGTTATTGTGGTGGCTGTGGTGGGCCACCCACACGGAAGTGATGTTTCTGGCATGCCTAGCTGATGGTGGTGATGGCTGTGTGCCTCTTTACCTAGTTGATGGTAGCGACGGCTGTGTGCCTGGTTGTGGGCAGGGGGTCTGGTCCTCAACTCCATGCCTCAGGACCCCAGGAAGGCTCTGTGATGCTGGTGGTGTGCCTGGTTGTGGGTGTGTGTGGGGGGGTCTGGTCCCCAGCTCCATAACCCCAGATCCTGGGCGGGCCCCTTGGTGCTGGTGGTGTGCCTGGTTGTGGGGTGCATGATCTGGTCCCAGCTCCATACCTCCAGATGCCGGGTGGGTCCCATGGCACTGGCAGTGTCCCTGCTTGTGGGCAAAGGGTCTGGTCCCTGGCTCCATACCTCAGGAACCCAGGCGGGACCCATGGTGCTGGAGGCGTGCCTAGTTGTCCCCTCTTTCTGGCTTGGTAGCCCAGGGGACTTCTGGTCCTTCTGGGTGTTACTGTAGGTGTTCTTTGGTGAAATGAGACCTTTACTAGTTAATATCAAACTTTGTCTCTGGTCTGTGGGTATTTGGTTTTTTCTTTCAGCTCTGTGTTGTATTATTTGCTGTTCTCACCACTTAAACTCTGCACTGGAACTAATTTGTTGTTCTTTGCTTACTTCTAAAGTGGGGGAACTTCCTGTGAGGACCAGTACTTGAGCTCTGTGGTTGAGCTAAATTGCTGCTTTGCTGTTGATTCCCTGGGGAAGACTTTTTGTGTAGCTCAGGTTTTAATGGCTGACTTTAAAGGACTTCCGGGTTTAGTGAAATCCAATGCACCTGGGTTGTGTAGAAACACTGGTTTGGGCCTGAGTCGTTTCATCAAACTGCACCCCATGCAATTCTATATTCCTGACCAGTTTCCTCTCAGTGGTCCTATGCTGATTGGGGGGCAGATCAGCTGTCCTTGCTGTGTCCCAGTGGGCGCGTCTCCCCCACCACCCGTGCTGCAAACACTTCCCATGGGACACGCTGTATGCTGGTCCCTTGCGATGACTCACTGGCCTTTAAGTGGCTCCTTTCTTTCACTTATTGTGGCTCCTTGCTCCTATGTGGGTCCATGGGAACTTTGTCAGTGGTCTTGTTGGCCTGGGGACCACCAAGGCCCTCTTCTCCCCTGCTCCCTCCATGCAACTTCATCCAAAGGGCACAGCTGCAGCTTTTGCCAATTCCTGCTCTGTGCACTCAGCAGCTCCAACCTGGAAGCAGCTGGGGCTTGAAATGGTCAGTAAGGTTTTTTTCTTTCTTTCATCGTGGCTTCTCTGGCCTTCATGCACTCCATAGGTCTCTCCTCCTCTTCCCCTGAGCTCTAGCGGCCTCAGCTTGGCTGTTGTTGCTTTTTAATAGTTGTAAATTAGTTGATGTGTGGGAAAGAGTGATGCTGGGGACTGTCTATTCCACCATCTTGACCAGAAGTCTCCCAAAAGTCAGTATTGCTATTTTGTAGTTTCAGAATACTATGACTAAAGATACATTCAATCAAGTTGCATTTTCACATCAGGCTTATTGCCTCCTAGCCTCACAGTTCATGTGAAAATAAAATGAAAGCTGACAATTCCTCAGCCCCAGTGAAATCTAGTCTTGCTTTCTCATCAAGAAGTTCTTGAAGTCACTCTGCATTGTCTTTTCTTAATCTCCCTCCTTTAAGAATAATTGCTATGCATTCTTCACAACAATTAGTAAAGAAAAAAGAAAGGACACATATACATTCATGTATTGACAATACTGTAGTCTTCACATATAAATAAAACTGAGCTACCTGGAAATAACATCCACCTGACATTTAGTTGAGAACTATGCAGTAAGACTTGAAGCCATTCAAAAAAAAAGATACCACATGAAGTCCACTTACAAATATTGCAGTATTCATGAAAAGATCTTCTGATTCCGTACCTTTTGACACATTACATGAAATTTTCACCAGTTTAGTTAATTGGTTTCCAAGACTAAACCACATTAAAAATCACAAATTAGAAAAAGGCTGATAAATGAGACAAGAAGAAATGATAGGCATCAGTATTATGGCAAAGGAGGAGGCAGATATAAAAACTTAAAACACCCAGTATCTGAGGGCATTTTGTATAGAAGAAA